TAACTCTAATAATTCCACAAAGAAAAGCTTTAAGATAACAATTTCATATTTAGCGATGGATCTTACCGATGACACTAAAAAAGGTAATGTTCTATTTTTAATAAAAAACCAGGGTTTCTATACAAAATTGAAACAAATCGATAACTTCAATTTATATTTTATCATCAGAACTTAAAAAACATATAGAGTAGCAAGAAGAGAGGAAAGAAAGCAGAGAAAGCGGAGAAAAGAAGCGGCATTGTTTTGAGCGAGAAGGTAAGCGAGAAAAATAATAAGCTTCGTTATAAATCATTCAAATATGTATTTTGTTTACTAAGCATGTTTTCGAACAATCTATAAATGGATTCTTGGTTCATACAGACGTGGTACTAAGGTTTCGACCAGGACCATGATTTCGACTAATAATTAATAATATTTATACCATTATTAAAACTAAAATTAAAAGTTATATTTGGACTATTTTTTAAAAATAAATATAGAAACTCGTTCATTACTAATTAAATAGGATTTAAATAATAAGTCGAAACCTTGGTACTCGTCGAAACTTTAGTCCCACATCTGTATTTTTGTTTCAATTCGAAATTGGATTAACAAGTAGTACCCCTTCTTTCTTGTTTTCCATCTTGTCATGCATCTTCTAATTATAAATTGATGTTATTGTTATTATGTTTGATGTATTACAATTAATTAGTGCTTGACTTTTTGTAATTTTTTTATAATTAATTAATTAATTATTAAATATTAGTTTTTAATTATGATCTTATTATTGTTTTTGTCAAATAGTTTTTTTTGTAATATTATTATAGTTATTATATAGTTTTTTGTTTTACTCACGATGGTTTTGATATAGTTGTTTTATAATATTTTTATAGTTGTTGTATAGTGTTTAAAAATTGTATGGTAATAGTTTAAGTGTGTTTGGTTGTAGATTCGTTTATTAATCATGTTTCAGAGAGATTTCCCTGTTTGTTCTATATTTTACCATTGTTTTTCTTGTTATTGTTTGAGTCGGCAACTATTACTATGTTTTAATGATTTTTTTTGAAGTATTGCATCGAACGCGATTTATGTTTCATGGTATCTTGTTTATTTTTTTGTGTGTTGTTTAAATTGTTTATTTGAGTAACTGGTACTAAACACACCATTTTGTTTGCTGTTTTGAAAGATAAATTATCTATTTTATTATTTATAGATTTGTACGAAAGCTATATTTGTATTCATTTTGTTAACTTGTGTACCTTTTGCTCCGTTGAAGTTTTCAAAATGTGCTCCACCCGTTTTATTTGGATTTTTTAAGACCATTTGTTAACTTTTTCACTATTTTGATATTTGGAGGTGGTAATCAATTCATCCTAAAATTCAGAAAAACACTATAAAACCAACCTAATAATCTACACAGAAATGAAAAATGGTAATCCAAATAATTAATTTTTTCTTCTTAAAAATGAGGCTTTTTTTCAAAAAATATGGTAAAAGAGGAAGAAAAAACACTAAAAATTATATGGACGCAGTTTTGGGCAGCGGCACTCAATGAGTAAATTTTAAAAAACGCCTGATTGTGCTTGTACCAATCCGAAATGACAGAGTGGACAGGTGGTTGGTTGTTCTAATATTTTGAACTTCCCAAGGGGAAGTTTATAGTTTTTACAGCAAGTTTTGCAAGTGATTTTTCTTTTTTTTGGGGTCGACAACCATCTGATTACCACAAAGACCACAAACTCAGGCATTAAATTGACCCATCAAAGGATCAAAATGGGCGTTAAATTTGTTTACAAATTGTTCTTTCTGTTTTACTAAAGTGTTAAATTGGTCGAGATAGAAATCGAGTACCTTCTGCTTTGTCTTTTCCTTATCTCTGAGTTAAGTGAGCAAGTTGTTGTAAGTCGACTTGTCTGAGAGTAACGGGGTGCTCTCTTTAATTGCTTCACAGAGTGCTTTGCCAAGTTGAGTTAATTTGATTTTGTACCCGCCGTTGATTCTTCTTAATAAGTCTCGCTCAATTAGTTTCTCAATGTATTTGATCAAGTTATTTTCATTTCCAAGCTTTTTGTTTTCTAAATTGTTTAAAATATCAAATTCACTGATTCCAGAGATGTTTTCTTTATTAATATTTTGCACTACAAATGTTTGGAGATATTGTTTTGTTGTGCCGAATGTGGTGTACCGTCCCTTCTCTTCTACAACATTTTCTAACCAACTGTTTGTACTTTTTAGTTCATACTTCTTGTAGTCAAAAGTGACGTTTTGGACTGTAATGGAATAAGAGTGAACAATAACATTTGCATCTTGATGAACTGCAGAACCAAACTCTCGAATTACTTTAAGCATCTGTCTTTGCTTAAAATCCATGCGTCTGTCATGTGTCTCTTCATTTATCATTTCAATACTTTCGTCTCTGTTTTGTATGTATCTATTTTCAAATAAGGCTCTGTATGTTTTTGAAGCCACGGAAAAACTAGTATTGTAAAACTCTGCATAGTATTTGATTAAAGTGTAATCACTCTCCAAAATATTATTCCATTTAACAACAATTTGTTGTGTTTCATGTGTTGGAGTGACTTGTACTTGGTGGAAATTTTCAATAAATTTCTTTGCTTCATTTTTTGTCATTTGCGGAGACTTAAAAGTCATACCATTATTAACGATTTGAAGAATAGCATTTGCGTCGTTTGTGAAATCTTTATAACACGAAAACAAAACTGGAAATTGGCACGGCCCATAACTAAGAATGCATTTTTGTTTGAAAAGTGTTGAAAACTGCGTTCTAAGTAAACTTGTCGAAAGCCGAGTGAATGCAAATCCAACACGTAAGTCGATTTCTCGTTTTGATTCTCCAAAAGAACTGATTTCTTTATCAGGAATTCTTTTATTCAAATAGTCAATTTTAATTGAACTTAAGTTATACCCCTTTGGTTCGACAATGTAGACTTCAGCAAATTTTTTGAATTCATCTTGAAATTTAAAAATTTCATTTTCTTCTTCAGGCCCTGGGACTGTCCAGAACAGTACTTCATTCACACGTTTCTCTTTAATAAATCTTTTGATTTTTCGGGTATTGTTTGTAATTTTTAATTATGAGTCAAAAACATTTCGAGCACTTTCATTGTCCACCCAACTTTTTCTGTTGTTGTTTCATATAAATTTTCTTTTTCAAATGTGACATAAATATTTTTGGGTTTCAAGATATTGAGCTTCTTGTTACTCTTGTTAACATGAAAAAAACCACGATCAGTTTCAACAAAAGCATTGTCTTTTTTCAAGGACAAGGTGTGTAGCAAACTCATCGTTTGCTTTTGGGTGTGTGTAATAATCAATGTCATGGAATGATTTATATAAAAATTCAACTTGTTTATATCTAAAAATTTTTTAGTTACAATTAATTAAACGATTTTTTGCGTGGTTAAAAATCCAGTTTTTCATAAAAGTCACAATTATTCATACCAATATTTTTATATTCAGGCAAAAACATAAATATTTGTGAACAACAACAATTACAATGAAAACTGAATTTAACAAAGCCATTGATTTTTTTTGTTAAGAGTAAATAATTCAAAGTACCTGAAAACATAATAAATGTAAAATTTATTAAAACTTTGGGTGTGAAACTTTTCTAAAGAAAAGTGGCAAATTGTTTCCTTCAACAATAGCAAAGTAATAAGGCTTATTGATGATGACATCTCTTGGTAGTGCTGTATACATCTTGCGGCGAATTTTCAGATCAAATAGAGTGAAGGCAGATGCGATCGTTCCAACTTCATCAACTTACACAACGGCTTTGTGGATTGCTGCCGAGACATATGTTTTTGTGTTGGACATTTTCGAAAAATTAGCATCACGGCTGAATGGGTCTGTGAGTTCAAGTTCAATCAACTGGTCGTTCATTTCAAATAAAGACTCGACACCGAATTTTGGGATTGTCACTTTTCTTTTTTCTGGGACAGACTGGATGGTATTAAAAACAATGTCTTTGAGTTGTTCAAGCCCTTCTTCGCCTCAATTTTTTTTCATATTCGTTGGCATGACAAACACCAATTTGTGCTCGAAGCCCTTGTAAAGGACGGACACTATTGTGTAGTCATCCTCAAAACTTGCCGACGAGTCAACGTCGACTTCCATAGCAGTCACTTCCCCGGCTCCTTCAAACTCCATTTTATTGGGCAATATGTGGAACGGTTCATTCCACTCTCCATTGAAGTAAATCGCGTTGATAATGACTGAGACGGTGTCTGGTGAAATGACACCTGGTTGGGTAAAGTCTTTGATGACGTTCTTTGTTGCTTTTTGGACAAAGGTGTTTATTTCCTGTCTTACAGCCCCGCATTTCTTTTTAAAGTCGCCGTTCTTCATTTGGCACTTCATCTGAGTAACTGCCGCCAAAAATTGGTATTTGAATTTGAGGTCCATTCCAGCCCAAAACGCGTTAACAATTTCAACACGGGTTTTTGATTTGGCTTTTTATGAACAAGCTGTCCCATTGTGTTCAAAAATTTCTCCTTTAAAATTGAGGAATACCCAAAAACACTTTCAAGTTGTTTCTTGGTGTTGGCGTCAGAGCCAAGGTACAACATAGCAAAGCAGATAAAAATGGAATGTGTAGAGTAAACTACATCTTCCTTCTGTGCGGATGTGGTGTACCATTCCACTCAGAGTTTGTAGAGGATTTTTTGGAGTGGGGTGATGATTTGACAGTCGAGAGACATGATATGTGTTTTTTGTCTGTTTTTTATCGGCTTAAATATCGTGTCGTTCTACTATTAAGAATCTCAATTGTGAGTTGTTCGGGTTTCGAATAATTGTTCAATAACAATTTTTCTTTCTAAAAACAAAGTTAAAAATAAACTATTATATTCTTATTATTTTATAATTTTGATTTTATTAAATTAATTTCAAAAGATTAACTTTGTTATGAAATGTGATTTTAATATATTTAGTTTGGTTTGTCTAATTCAATGGAATATAAGTGTAATGGGCAATTATTCAAAGACTTATGATACTTATGACACTTCCTTTTTGAAAAATACAAATTTAAAATATCAGTTTAATATATTTAATTTAAATTTAAAAGATTCTTTTGTTATTTATGAATATTTCGAAAACATTTGGTTAAATAATGTAATGATTTAAATTTGGTGCCAAAATGTTAGTCAATCAGTTTTACAATGATCAAATAATAAATTGTATTGATGAAATGTTGTTGAATACCATTTTTGCAAAATTTCATTCGAAAAACTTGTTTAAATGTGTTTTTGAATCAGAAGGAAAAACATTTGAAAATATTGATTTAAAAAAGATTCAAAATATTCTAAGTTATCCACAAATAGATCGTGTAATAATTAAAAAGGGGAAATAAAAAATAACGAGTATTAAACAAATATTAACGAACGATTCGAGCCAGTTAAATTTATTTTGATATAGAAACTGAAACTGCAGATGATTCAAATACACCCAATTGTTATTTCAAAAGTGCTCCAAAGTTGAATGAAAATAAAACAAAAAGAAAAAACAGCTGCTTGCTATTAACAAAAAGATAAAAGAACTTGAAAAAATGTTTGGTAAAAAAAATACCAAATTAAAAAAATAGTTGATTTTTTGAACTTTAACGTGTTTTGTAGTGTTTTTTTTCATTTGTATTTATAGTTTTTTTAATCAAAAAATAAAAATAGATACTTTTGTGGTGAAAAGAATGTTCTGTTAAAATTGGGAGAACTGATCATGAGATATAAAATTATCCACACAAACGTTGCTAGCTATCTCTTCACTTCTTCAATCTTACTGGCATACCATTTCTCTGGTTTCTCGGCGTTAGCTGTAGGGTTCTGTGCTTTTTTCTCTGTTTCAATTTCGTCCAATTCTGTTTCGCATTTTGTTTTCAATTAACGCAAATAAAGCAGCAACTTCTGTAAATTTTGCTTTTAAATCAGTAACTTTAGTTCTAAGTCTATGAGTTTCTAAATCAGAGTTTTGTTTCATTGCTCTCTCCTTCTTAAGTTCCTTCTATAAATCAGCCTTTTGAGCAATTAACAAGTTAATGGACTTCTCGGCTTGTTCCTTATATTTACCGAATTCATTTTCGTTCTCCATCACTTCTCTAAGTTCGTCTGCATATTTCTTCTTTTGTGCTTTAGCCTGTTGAGCGGTGGTTCTTTCAAGATCAAGTTGTTCATTCAGTTCAGTCAACTTCTTTTCATAAGTGTTCTTCGACTATTTATAATTTTTAATAGCTTGTTCAAGAGCCTCCAATTCAGTCTTCATCTCGGACATATCGTCTTCAAGTTTGTCGCATATCTAGTTCTCATCAATTCTTCAAAAGCAGCCTTATAATCTATTATAGTCTTGACCTTCTCTTGTTCAGCCATCTGGGTTACAGCTCTGACTATGATTTCAGCGATATCTTTCTCGTACTTGCCTTTAATCAATTGGGTCTTGGAATGGTCTTTCTATTCTTGATCAAGTTCAGTTCTAACGCTCTTCAGTTTGTCTTGGTATTTCTATTTCATCGCTTTATTGCCATCTTTTTCATCATTTGCAGTGTCAAGTTGTCTCTGTGCCTTGTCAACTTTAGCATTCAAGTTGTTAATCATCTTGTCCATTTCCTCCAAATCCTGCTCATTCTTCTTCTTCTTCTCATCAGTAAGTTGATCAACTTGGACTGTCAAGTCATTCGCCTTTTAGTCAACTTTTTTAGTGTTATTTGCTTCATCTAAGTTGAACTGGACTTACTGTAATTTGCTATCAGCAGCCTTTCAAAATGCATCTGCACTGTCAGCCTTCTGTCTTTCTTCATCGAGTTTGGCTTGAATTTAAGTTATTTTTGCATTCAACACGTTCTTCTCTTCTTCTTGACGAACAGTAGCTGGTGCACTGACTTGGACTTTAAATGATGAAAGTTGTGCATTGAGTGTTTTGACTTGGTCTTCCACATTCTTTCTTCTATCAGATTAGTTGAGAAGCTGAGGTGGTATTTTTCATTAGTTTTGTCGTCCAAAGCCTTCTTCTTTTGTGCTTCAAGTGCCTTAATCTGTGATTCACAATTCTCAATCTTCAAAGCGTCTTCAATTGCTTTTTTATATCCTTATAAGCAGCATCAAGTTATATGTTCTGTTCTTTCAACGCAGCAACCACCTTCTCCAAATCAACAATTTGGTTGTCTCTCTTGATGACCTCTGTTTGGTCGATATTTGAAGTCCCAACTTTATCTCCAAGGTCTTGCAGTTGTTGTTCCAAATCTACTATTTTCTTCTTGTCTTTAGTTGTTCTGTTTCTTAATTCATTCAACTTCCTTTTATTTGCTTCTAAAATAAAAAAATTAATAATGCACTATAATAAGTAAACTACATTTTTTTAACAATACATATAAAAAAGTATTATAAAATGTAATTAAAACAATTAAAAGAATTTAAAATAATTATTAAAATAATTATTAATTATTTATTAATAATACAATACGATATAATAATGTAATCCCATAATTTAAAATTTCAAATATACAGTCGGAGTTTGTTTAAAAAGGATGTTTTTTCGACTGAATTAGTCATTTTTTATAATATTAGTTAGATTTTTTGTTAAAAAGGATGTTTTTTTAATAAAATAGATTTATATAATAAATTAGATATAATTTTTGCCAATTAGGAATAATTACCATAATGAGGTAATATTTTTGTTAAATTAGATTTTATTATTATTATTCGAGGTATTATTATAATAAAAATAGGTTGAATTACCAAAACATTAGGTATATTTACGGTAAATAGGTACATTTTTCGAACTTTAGATTTATTTACAAAAATTTTAGGCACAATTTATTTGAGATATTATACATTTATTTTCAATTTAGTCATTATTTAAATTTATCAGTATAAATTATATAATTATTTCGACCAATTTTAAATACAGTAAAATCGCTCATTAGTTTATTCCCTTATAAAGAGAATCTTTTCATTATAAGATGTTTTAACCAAACGATATTAAATCACTAATTAGGGGGAAAAATAATTTCATAACCACCATTGAGGGGTTCTATTTTTCATTTAATCTATTAATGAGAGGTTTTACTGTAAACATTTTTTTTACAATTTCAAACTTGTTAATTTATTATTTTTCCAATTTAATTGTTTAATTAAACAAAAACAACATGTTTTCTTTACAATATATCAATAGATGAGATCAAAGGAGAATTTGAATTACACTCTAAATGCACCAATATCAACAAGCGGTCAACCAGTCATTCCAATTCGATAACATCATCAAAGCATTCCATTCATTGAAAAAAAATGAAAAAGACCTCCAAAAATACAACTTTGCAAATTTCTACAACACCATTAAAAGCGCGAATACACACGTTTTACAAACGCAAAAAAAGAATCGTTTGTTTAAAGAATGGAAAACTCATGGTGATGATTGGTCATTAAATTAACTCTTTTTTATAATTTAAATAATGACTAAATTGAAAATAAATGTATAATATCTCAAATAAATTGTGCCTAAAATTTTTGTAAATAAATCTAAAGTTCGAAAAATGTACCTATTTACCGTAAATATACCTAATGTTTTGGTAATTCAACCTATTTTTATTATAATAATACCTCGAATAATAATAATAAAATCTAATTTAACAAAAATATTACCTCATTATGGTAATTATTCCTAATTGGCAAAAATTATATCTAATTTATTATATAAATCTATTTTATTAAAAAAACATCCTTTTTAACAAAAAATCTAACTAATATTATAAAAAATGACTAATTCAGTCGAAAAAACATCCTTTTTAAACAAACTCCGACTGTAACTAAATTTATAAACATTACTAATTTAAATATCAAAGTGATAAAGTCTATATAGTAAACCCTTATATTTATACGATGATGGTTGTCATTCAATGACCGAGCTTTTTATAAAAATCATTGACCATTTTATATATAAAAAATGTTTTTTTATATTCTATTGACCAATTTATAACATAACCAACCAAAAACAAAATTATAAGAAAACAATAAATAGAATTAAACTTCCACAAGTTGTTAATAACCTTTATTAATTATTGAATAAACTCCAGTGACACCATTCAAAGTTGTTACTTGTGGAATTACAAGCAGATTTTCTGTTGGTTGTGATAGTATAAAACTCGCTTGGTATTTTAAATATTGACACTATAGAAAGTTGACCCATGTTATCTACATTAATTCCTTGTGTCACAAAGACGTCTCCCAATTTGACAATTTCGTTACTTAAAATCACGGAATAGGCATCAAATGATATTGTTCTCCTTCACTCAATCCAATATAAATGTCGTTCTTCGTGCTTAACGACAACACCTTATTCAACACAATTTTCAATGCCAATATATCCAAATTGTTTTGCAACGTATTAACCTTCATATTTTGGAGCTCCCCGATTTCCATTGAATTTCCAGAAACTCTCAAATTGCGTTTAAAATAAGCTTCTCAGTGTTCAAAATGTTGTAAGTGTAAAAATAAGAAAATAGTCACTCACAGTGACAATTTTCGTTGTCAAAGATCCATGTAGTGTCACTTCATTGTTATCCACAACATCATTTCATCTCAAATTAAATAAAATTTAATAATAAATTAAAAAATTAAATTTTACACACTTCGCATTCAACATTATCGGTGAGTGTTCTTCCATTGTTGAAGATGATTTCTCTGAAATTGTAAATTCGATTGTACACGACATTCTCTTCCAAAATTAATATGTGGTGACTTTCTACCTCCTCAGCCTTCTCACAGTCCTTTTAACTGTACTTTCCATTGAAAATGCACTCACAACTTATCATAGAAGTTTCTAACACTAATCGCAACTCTTCTAAAATTTCACAAGCAACTTTAATTCCTCGTACAAAAAACTTGGATCCTTCGAACTACCAAAAAACAGAATGTCGTTGTCGTCAAATCCAATTAATGGTGTTGTACTCGCACTAAAATTTCCCAAATGATGTGAACACCCACTTTCTGTCTTTTCGAGTGTCAAATTTGAAAACACGAAATTGCCGATAAAGACGACTTGTGTTGTTGGAAGAGTCACATTTTCACTCAACATGATTTCACTGTTCGTTTCGATTTGTAACGTTTCCGTGCGCTTTTTGATATTAAAACCCCTCCAATGAGCCGCATTGTTTCCTTTAAAACACACAAGTTGACTTTACTGGTTAACTGTACTACCAAATATACAGTTTATTATTTAATAATAATATAATAATTTATACTATTAAAAGTAGTAAAAAACAAAAACAGTTTTATATCAGAAAAAACCTAATTTATAATTTATTCAAAAATAAATAACAATTATAAAAAATCAATAATTAGTTTTTTATTTACTTTTTTATTTATTTTTATACTTATAATCTTCTTATTATTCCAACCAGATTCACAAAGTCCACAAGTTTATATTTGAGAAAGTTATATCTCCAAATCTAAAATAAATCAATTTTAGTAACCAAAACGATTAGCAATAGTTTGATAAAACGAATTTGTCCTTTTGTCAAAAATAATACAATTTGATTGTAAAATATGCGATATATATAATATCATATATTGTTTTATTATAAAAAACTTTGATTATCAAAGTAAATAAATTACTCTTTTCCATTTTATTATTTTTTAATATTTTTTAGTTTTATTATAATTTAATAATTGAACAAACTGAATACTAATAACTAAACTACAAAAAATCAATATGTAAAAATAGTATCTACAGAAACAAATTTCTAGTTACAAAATAATTGTTTATAATTCGACAAACTTACCTTAAACAGCAGGGAAAATATATTATAAATTATTATAGCTATTTGTACTATTTTTATTTCATTTTTGTTCTTTTCTCTAGTAAATGTTCTTATTATTAACTAGAATACTATAGTAATATGTGTTATTATAGTGTTACTATAGGATTACTATAATAATATGTATTACTATAGAAAGACAACACATTAATTCAAAACAAAACTTCAAATTGCTCTTCATACATACAACGATGATTTCAAGGTTCAACGTCTTTTGTTTGATCGCCAATGAATTATATGTTGTTTTTGTGTACTTATAGCTGTTTGTTAATATTTTATTATTTAACAAATGAACCAACTCATATTGTCTTCTGTAATAAGACAACAAGATATGTTTCTTTGGAGGAGTCGGGTTTGGTTGTTATTTGACGAAATATCTATCGACAGTAGTGTCATCATCGAGAAATAAATTGTTTGGCGAAATGTATTTTAGTTAGCTCTTGTTGTTATTGGCGGTGTTTTGCGATCTGGCTTTTCATTGGGGCTCTCCAAATTTAAATAAAAAATTTATTAGCAACAAATTTAATTTAAAGTTATCTAAACTTGGGCCACAAAGTCCGACACGTTATAACAGTAATTTTTTCTTTTGTTTTTCGGGATATTAATATATTTTGTCGAAATTTATACCTGTTTTACTTATCATTATTTTCCCTTATTTCTATTTTTTGCGTCTTATTTTTTGATTTTTAATTTTCTACTTTCACAACAATTTCCTTATTTCAAAATCATGAAATATTTTGATTTATAAAATATGAAAAATTAATTTCATACCCAAATTTTATACAAAAATTTGTGAAAACAATGAATGTTTTAATGAACGTTTTTGTAGGATGAACAAAAAAATAATTGAAGAAAAAACACATCAAAAATAATATAAAAATTATAAATGCTCATAACATTTAGCACATTTCCTGTTTTTCTTGACATAATTCATTAATTATTTCAATAAAAATTTTAAAAAATAGCAGAAAAACAAATTCGAAAGTCCGATACGTCGGACTTTGTGTCCGGAGTTTATGTTATCAATATTGCCGTTGTTGTATTTTTCATATTAAATGCATTTTTTTTCGTTTTGATGCTTTGCCCAATTTATGGATTTTTACTTTCAATTCAAAACAGTAGAAAACGACAATTTGAAAAGACAGTTTTTGAGTAAATAATATAAATAATAATATAGTATATATATTATAAATTTAAATTAATATTTAAAACAAATGATGTATCGACACAACAATTGACCAACACTATAAGTACTTGATGTGTCAATGTGAACAACAGTTTTTGGCTACAATTTGAATGTTTGAGTTGTGTAATAGTTGCATTATCGATTCAGAAGAAAATGAATACCGCTCCATCATCTCTTCAATTGTGTGTTCGTTTCTTGTTCTTGGATTGTCATTCTTGGCTGTAGTGACTGTGTCAATAACTTCAATTCTTGTCAAAATGTTTAATACCAAAATACCAACACATAAAAGTAATTTACAACTTGTGGAAGTTTAATTTTATTTATTGTTTTCTTATAATTTCGTTTTTTGTTGGTTATGTTATAAATTGGTCAATAGAAAAAAACATTTTTATTTTATAAAATGGTCAATGATTTTTATAAAAAGTTCGGTCATTGAATGATTACCATCATCATATAAATATTCAAGTTAACTATATTGACTTCATTGCTTTGATATTTGAATTAATAATGTTTATAAATTTAGTTATATTTAAAATTTTAAATTATGGGATTACATTATTATTTAGTATTGTATTATTAATAAACAATTAATAATTATTTAAATAATTTATATTAAATTCTCTTAATTGTTTTAATTACATTTTATGATACTTTTTTATTTGTATTGTTAAAATAATATAGTTTATTTCAGTCAACAAGTCCCCACACTGCGCATTAGCTTTAGTGGACGATATAAGTCATTGTGTTGTCTGTTAAAAAGACCACTTTCTCTTGAATGGGTCATATCTTATGTGTCCCAGTTTTTGTTCGAAGTGTTTGAGTGATTTTGAGTGTTCAAAGTGCTTTACCAATTATTTTGTCAATGAGACGTATTCATGTGAAAAGACAACACACTTAAAATGATGTGCTGTTATTGGTATTATTGTGATTATGGGCACAACCAGGCGTTTAGCAAAATTTACATGGTGAATGCCGAATCCCAAAAATGCTTCAGTCTTATTTTATAGAATGTTTTTTCTTTTAAAAATACGTTTTTGGGAAAAAATTAACACCAGCTCCCTGTTTTTTAAAACAAAAACGAGGCAAAAAATTAATACGCCTGGTTGTGATTATGGGTGTGAGATGTGTGACGATGGATATTCCCTTATAAACAACACGCAGTGTGTTCCATGCGTCTCCATTTCTGAACATTGTGCAGTGTGTGATAAATATTTGTATCAGTGTAAAAAGTGTTAGACCAGTTTCTATCTTTCAGAAAGAAAATGTGTGAACTCGAATGCCGCTTTCTGCGTTAAAACAAATGGGGAATTTTGTACTAAATGTTCTTTTTGGCATTAAGTGAGTTCTGAACAGCTCAATCAATTCGAGAATAGTCCAGTGTCGAGGGTCATCTTACTTATAGTTATCACAGACACCACCATTTATCACACCCATCTCATTACTTGCTGCCTTTGTTCTTAAAAAACCGATTCAAAAAGTCGTTCAAATGACTCGGAATATGACTGTTCCCGAAAACGTGGTGATTTTCGATGCTACAAAAACAAAAGAGAAATGGAACTTTTTGAAACGCACTTCGGTGGAAGTGAGCACTTCACTCTTGACATTGGAAGTGACAACAAACACATTCGAGTCAATGAATTTTCAAAGCAAAGCACTTCATTTGGCAATTTGAAATGCCACCACACAGTGATAATCTCGATCGTGTCAGAGATGATCACTACAAAGAAGTACGAAATCCTTTCTACGCCCAACAAAGTCGTTTTGAAGCGAAGAGAAGGGTGCAAAGTCGAAATATCAATTAAGCCACTTTGCTCGACACATATTCAAGACAAACTGCAAATTGTTGTCGACGACGCGTTTAATGGGAAACGAACAATTGGAACACTGAGCATGGAAATCGTGACGGAAGTAACAACAAGTCTCAATTATTCAGAAGTCAAAGAAGAGAGTTATTTGAATGCTGGTGGGTTTGCTATATTTTATAAATGGACTTTGTTATATATATAAAATATACTGATTGTACAAGACCGTTGCAATCAAAAGGATGAATAAGCAAACAAATTTGCTTGAAATAATCGACGAATTTGAGAAGGAAGTTGCGATGCTGGACAAATTCAGAAACGTGTATATAGTGCACTTCTGTGGTGCTGTTTTGTCCCGACAAAAATTTGCATTGTCACCGAATACGCTGATTTTGGGAGTCTCCACTTTATCATGGAGAACAGGAAGAAGTCGCCTATAACAAACAAAATGAAGACAAAGGTCTGTTTGGATGCTTCAAGAGAAATTTTGTATGTACACATTAATGGGATCTTCCATTGAGATATTAAGCTCAGAACTGTTGTTCGAACAACTGTTCTGAAACATATCTTCTCTGAGATAGTGGAACGCCTAAATGTTTGGGGAAAAAGAAGTTATTCTTCTATGGGCAAATACACATTTCATGACAGCATATATGATTGATCAGTTCAGAGATATCATTTTTGTTTGTAAAAATTATACCTTTTAGAAAGACCGCAATATCCAGAAACAAACTTTTTGAAAATGCAACGTCACCAAACCAAAATCCACAATTGATTTGAAAATTTAGAGTACAGAGAACATTTCTATTGGGGTTTATACCGCTTATAACTATCGGCATTAAAAAGTTCATAGTGATAATCGGTGAAGACGGACAAGTATGCCCAAATTAAATAATAATCGTTGATGGTTTTACAGTCATTATGTTTTTTAATTAATATATTTTATTTTTAAAATGTTTAACTAAGTTGATTAGGCAAACAAATAAATACAATAAAAATAATTATAATATATAGTTATAATCTTCGATATAATATACAATGTTGTGAGGAATTCACTTGTTTTTTTCATTAAAAAGTGTATCTATAAATAATAGAAAGATAGATACAAAAATCATTAATAATGATTTTTAATTATCATTGTTAAAATGATGATAATACCATAAATTATAATATAAATAATTATAATACTTAATTTTTGTGTTCAATAATTTAAAAATGAAAAAAAAACTGTTTTTCAAAAGTCTGTAGTGGAGTGTCCCGAATTTTTGCATTTATTTTGTTTATTATTTTTGGGAATAGTTTTTTGTTCAAAATTTACATTATTTTTTTCCAAATAAAAAAAGAAAAAAGTTTTTTAAAAATATTTTTTTCCTTGAAGTATTTTTAAGAATAACAAAATAAACACCATTAAAAGACGATTTAAAAGTTGATATTTATAAAGACTTTTTTTTGCAATTACCAATATATAGCTAAAACCTTTAATAATTGTAGTAAACTGTGATCAAAAGTACATTATCAAATTTCATACATTATGACTGTTCGGCGTCTTTTGATATTACTGAGAAGTTGGCGAATTTTAATTGTCTTCAAAAGTCGCCAACTTATTTTAGAACAAAATAACTATTAATTTTAATAAATTATACCATATTTATTATAGTCTCAAAAATGTGTAAAAACACAATAGTTGTTATAATTTGTTATATTATAATGATATAAATATAATTTAAAAAATGATTTGAGAAGATATAATTGGGACGGTATTTTTTTCTATTCATTTTTAATAATAATTATATTAAATTTATATAGTTCATTTTTTTAATTCCTTTTTTATAATAAATGGTATTTTGAATAGTTATTTAACTAAATATTTAAGTCGGCGACTTTATTTTAAATAGCTGACTTTAACAAAAAAGTCGGCGATTTTCAAAGTGACTATAAAGTCGCCGAACAGCTATTAGACACAACAACTAAGTAAGACAATATGTTCACCACATCAACATTTTAAATAACAATTAATTAAAAATTTAATTTTAAATTTTAAAACAAAGAACGAATGATTATATTTAGTGACAAACTAAATATCAGGCAATGTGAATGATATTATTGATGGGGATGTCATTCGGAAGTATAGTATCCCAATCGTTAAACTTTATTAAATGAAATACAAATCTAAAAGTAAAGAAAAACATTTGACTTGAGTAAGTACAATGAGCTGTACGACTTTAGTTTATTTGTTATGGATGTCAAATGTAATTGGGTATTATTAACCAACTTAACTTGAGTCTTTATGTTAAGTGAAAATATTTTGAATTATACCAACTATAGAATCTACAAATATTAATAAAAGATCAAATTCCTCAATGTCCGATAAACCAATTGACTAATCTTCGATTGTTCAAACCAAAAAATCGGCATTTAAAAAACTATGGGTTGCACGAGTTGGGAGTGAAGTAGAAGAAGATGTGTTGCAACGGATTGTTTTAGCACAAATAAAACACACTTTAAATGATTGTTATATGTTTGTTTTCTTTAGGAATAATATTAAAACGTACAAATTAAGACAAAGACCACATTTGAACAAATTTGGAATATAGAGTTGCACATGATGACATTTGTGTTGTGATGATTGCGGAAGACGCGGCTGCTACATTGTGAAGTACAATTTTGTGCAATAACAAATTATCATTATACTATGTTATTTAACAAGACATTGTGAAATTAAAACACACCTGACTTGAAAAACATATTGTCAACAATAAATAATTCTTTATTAATTTGTGTTTTTTCAAAAAATAAAAAAAAACTATTTTATGCTTTTTAAATTGATTTTAGATATTGTTTTGATTTGTTCTTTATAAAAATATAAGTTAATATGTTGTTGTATTGTGTAGAATTTGATTTTAAATTTTATGGGAAGCATTTGTGGTCTAAGGGCAGAATTCCACCCTTCCAAGGTGGAGATCCAGGTTCGAGTCCCGGCAAATGCACTTTTTATTTTTTTGTTCCTAAAAACATAATATTATTTTCATATTAAACTGTGTCGAACAACAACTTTAATATGAAGATTATACTATTTACTATTTAAAAATTATTAATTAAACAAGTTCTTATTCACCTATTGAATTAATGGAAATTATTAGATTGTCGAATTAACTAATTTTTTAATCAAACATTTTTTATCAAAAATAAATTTAAAAAAATTTCAAAATAACACTAAAACACCTCAAAAGTAGATTGAGTTTTTAACGAAACAAAATAATATTAGTAAGTATTTTATCATAAAACCAACAAAAACAATTTATTTTTTGATTTTTTTTAATTTTATCATAAATTATTTAAACCGACAAATAATCTTTATTTTAAAAAATGTCCAAACTCGACAGTTATCACATGATGATAGTCTCGATGTACTTTAATACCATCAAAGACTTTATCAATCTCAAGATTGTATGTAAGAAGTTCAATGACAACATGAAGAAGTTTCACTTCAACCCAATTCCATTGACTAACAAAACATTTAAACATTTTCCAAACATCGAGACACTTCATTTGTGGAAAAAACACAATGAGAATTTTGGGAATGGATTTATTGTCAATGTTGTTGAGGGTGATCATGAATATTATGAAGAAGTAAACAAAAGAAAAAAGGTAATAAGAAAAAAGGAGTTTTATGAAATTATCGTGTGGTTCGAAGTAGATTATGGAACTGTTGTCAAAAACAGTGGTTTAAACATAAAATTTAAAAATGTGATTTATACTAAAAATAACACAAAAGTATATGGCTTTAAAATACCACAATGCATTGGATCGTTACGAGACAATTGTTTTAGTGAATGTAAAACAATAAGCAGTATAGTCATACCTCCAAACATCAGATCTATCAGTTCTGGTTGTTTTTATGGGTGTTGTAATTTGGGCAATATAGAAATATCAACAAGTGTGACATCATTTGGTAATTATTGTTTCTTTAAATGTGAAAAATTGAGCAATATAGTTATACCATTAAATATCAAGTTGATTGGTGAATATTGTTTTTTTGGATGTAAAAAACTAAGCAGTGTAACAATACCACCAGGTGTAATTACACTTGGAGTTTGTTGTTTTGATGGATGTGCGAGTCTCAGTACTGTTAATATAAAATCAATAAAAACAATTGGTAATTGTTGTTTTCGTGGATGTAGCAAATTGAGTAACATTATAATACCATCAATTGTCACATCGATTGGTTATCGTTGTTTTAGTAAATGTAGCAATCTGAGCAATGTAATAATTCCAACAAGTGTTTCGTCAATCGAAGATGCTTGTTTTAATGGATGTAGTAATCTAAGCAGTGTGACTATACCATCAAGTGTAACATCATTTAGTAATAAGTGCTTTAGTAAATGTAGAAATCTAAGTTGTATAGAAATTTCAACAAGTGTGATAAAATTTGGTTATAAATGTTTTAATAAATGTAACAGTTTAAGAAGGATGGTTATTCCATCAAGTGTGACATTTATTGGTGAATGTTGTTTTTCTGAATGTAGCAGTCTTAAAATTGTAAGTGTGCCGTCTAATATCACATTGATCAACAATACATGTTTTTATAAATGTAGAAGTTTGAGTAGTATTGTAATTCCATCAAATGTAATAAAAATTGGTGATCAATGTTTCTCTAATTGTGTTGGTCTGAGTTCTGTAGAATTGCCATCGATAAAAACACTTGGCAGCTATTGTTTTTATAAATGTAGCACTTTGAATAGTATTACTATACCATCGAGTGTCACATCAATTGGAGATTTTTGTTTTTCGTGCTGTATCGGTCTTTTAAGTGTCACAATACCATCAAGTGTTATATCACTTGGTTCTGGTTGTTTCGTAGATTGTAAAAGTCTTAGAAGTGTGACAATACCATCAAGTGTCACGTTGATTGATAAAAAATGTTTTTCAAAGTGCAACAATTTGAGTGATATTGTTATACCATCAAGTGTGACAAAAATTAGTGAATATTGTTTTTTAAAATGTGAAAAACTGAGTAGTGTAACAATACCACAAAGTGTGATAACACTTGAAGATTGTTGTTTTGATGGATGTTCGAGTTTGAGCAATATTGTAATTTCAACAAGTGTTACATCGATTGGAGACAAATGTTTTAGAGGATGTAATAAGCTTGCCAGTGTGATTATACCATCGAGTGTCATGTATGTCGGTGATAATTGTTTTCCAACACACACTGTTATTATTCAAAAGAGTAATTAAAATGAAACTGTTATTTTTGTGTGACACTATTACAAAGATGGTGTTTTTTATAACAAATATACAATTATTAAAACACATTAAAAGTTATAACAATCATAATTTAACATAACAGATGTTACAATTAAACCTCCCAAGAGTGGGCGGGTATGGTAAATTTTGTTCTCTCAAGAGCGGGCGTTTTATTTTTAACTCAATTTTTTAAAGTTAAAAAAACACTTTTTAAATGTAAAAATAAAAATAAAAAAAAAAGAAAAATAATTCAAAAAGAAAAAAAATACCAAGTGTTAACTTTAAGATGATTTTAAACAATGTTTGATTTGGCTCACAAATGTCATTTAAAAAAAACAGATAATTTTATAACTTATTCATGTCTTTACCAAAAACATTTTTATTAATTGATGAAAAAAAGCAAATTTTATAATGGGCTAATGCCTCCCCGAAACTGTCATTGAAAAAACTGAGAGAAATAATAAACCAAAATTTACAAAAATGTCCAAAACGCGAGTCTCTGAGAATGTTATTAAAGTATGGTATCAAGGGAAGTTTAATTGAGCCATCAATACCGGGAAATGCAAAGGTTTTCAGAAAAGTTAAACACCCAGACTTGGAAGAGAACATGCTCAAGATGATCGAAACTGTGAGGTCATTCAATACTCCAGTTTTCTACAATGTTGTCAAGAGCTTGGCTTCTAAATATTGCTTCGAAAAAGGATATGATGATATAATGCGTTGAAATGATCGGATTTCTTCGTTTTGTTCAAGAAATCAACTTAAATCAAAGAAATTGTGCGGAGAAAGCAATTTAGTTGACCCAGATAAACACAAGGAGGCAATTGATAAGCTGGTTGAAATTATTGCACAGTATGCTCCTGGTAATGTGTACAACGCGGATGAAATGAGACTTTTCTATAAGCTGTTACCTTCCAAAACATTGTCAAGTGGTTTTGATAACCATGGAGGGAAGGAGGAAAAGAACAAATTGTAATTATGATATGCTGTTCATTAAGTGGAGAAAAAAAATCTTTTGGTTGTTGGAAAGTATCGTAATCCAAGGTGGTTCTCTGATGGAAAGTACACCAACGTTAAACAATTCTACGACTTTCAAACTAATGCTTGGATGAACATAGAGCTGATTCATCGATGGCTACTCAAAGGGGAAGAAGCACTCACAAGAGAAAACAGAAACATTCTTCTTATAGTAGATAATGCTCCAAGCCACAAGCTTATCATAACTACGATTATTGAAGAAGAAAAACTTGGCTACAGTTACAAAGGCCTAAAAGGGGGATTTTATGTGTATGAATTAAACCCTGCACACATAAGGCTGGAATTTTACCGAAAAACACGACTTCGGTATTCCAACAATGTGACGCGGAAATAATACACTCATTCAAGGCCGCATATCGAAGAAAAATTGCGAATTTAAAGGCAGAAGAAATTATAGAAGCTCATTCTCAGGGAAAATGTATTTTAGTACTCAAAATGAATGTGGGTGATGCCATATTATATGCTGTCGATTGTTGGAACGATGATGTTTCATCCGAAAAAATAATTGGCTGCTGGAAGCACTCTTTGTTTAAAGAAGAAAGTGGAAAGATTGTGGGAGATGTAACGGCCTATTCCATTGAAGATTTGATCGAACAGAACGAAGAACCCGTTGATGTTGAGGAACCCGAAGAACAAGGAGATATTTTGCTGAAAATTAAAGAGTTGAAAAAACAGGTGGTGAGTAAAAATGATGAACTAAAAAAATTAAACAACAGTACAAGGAACTTTCTAACAAAAAAATGTTCTTATAAAAATAGATTTTAATTAATTTAAAATCTTATAATTTATGTTAAAATAAACTTTGAAAAATAACCACCTGAGGTGTTTAGTGTCTTAGGTAGTAGTGGTATCATAATAAACAGTTGGTAATTAAATGAGGTGGCTCATGTCTCGGGTATTTATTTTATTTTTAAGTTTTAATTTATTTAATATCACTTTCGATCTTTTTTCTTGGCAAAAACTTATATTGACAATTATTTTTTTTTCTTTCAAATAAATTTGCACTTTTGATATTTTGTAATTATTTTTTTGTTTTTCTGGTTATTCAAAATGTATTTACCAAAAATTAGAAAAAATAATCCCGATTTTTTAGAACAAAAAACAATAAATTGTCAGTTCTCTATCGAGCGGTTTTTAATGTTTGATTGGTTAAAAATGCCCGCTCTTGAGAGAACCCGCTTTTCAAAGGTACCGCTCTTAACACTTAATTGGCAAAAAAGACATATTTTTGTCCGCCTTTTTGATTTTTACTTATAGAACTTTAAATAATCTTTTAATTTACAACATACACTATATTTACTATAATTGAACTATAATAAATAATATTAAGGTACTAAATAATTTTATAATATTTTAATAGTCGTAATAAAAAACCTTCAATTATAAAAAAAACATTAGCCTTGACAAGGAAATAAAAATATAGGTAAGTAGAATAGCAGCTAGAGTCAAAGCTGATAAGTAAGCCACTTAAATAATATGATTAAGGCTTGGCTGACAAGATGGAAAGCTTCATAATAAATGTAAAAGACCAAGTCCACGACAACATGAATGAACTCTCTGACACTTCTAAAGCCATTTTACGGCTTAATGACACGTTCGATGACATGTCGAATGGTATTGATTTGCAGACAGTTTTGGGTAAAAAAGAAAAATAATTTGTGGTTGAAGCGAAACAAAGAATATTTAACAGTCTGAGTCGTGATTTTACAACAACAGTAAAAAAGCCTTACTTAATGTTGCTTTACAGATTCAACAGGTTTCACAATTTGAAATTATGACGATTTGTGTGAATAATAACTTAAAGGGGAGAATGCAACAAATGCAGTAAATTTCAGGATTATTTGGACGTGTAAAATCGGGCGGACAAAAAGGTGTCCGTTCTGACTTCAACCGTTATTCAAAATTTTAAGCTAAGACTAGTTTAATTTTATAGGTTTTTTACTATTTTATTTGAATTTTTATAAAACATTATATTTTCGAATGGTTTTGTTATTCTTGAACATCATTTCCCAAAAACGCATTTTGTGTACTTTTTAAGTGTTAAGGTGTGTTTGGTTTAAATAGTTTTTCATAAAGTAAATAATTAATATATAATAATTGTTAATAAAATAAATTAATATAATTTGTAATAAAATGTGTAAATATATAATATAATACATAAAAATTAAATAAAATATAATAAATTAATATAGTAATAATAAATTATTAATATAAAATTTTCTATTTATTTAAATTTGTGTTTTTAATATGTTATTTATCCAATATAATGTATTATTTTATATTATTGATATTATTAAAGTTAATAATACAAAAGTTTTTTTTACAATAATTTGTATAAGTTAAATAGTTAGTAAATTTATAATACTTGTATAATAAATAAAACAATTAAATATATTATTTATATACTATATCATTTTATTAACACTTAAAATAACGCTCTTATTTGTGTTTTGGCCTATTTTTAAAGGGATATTAATCCAATTTTTGATGATTTTACTTTTTTTAGCTTGTGTATAGTTTATGCACATAAAATAATTTCTAAAAAAACGGAAATTTATTAAATAAACTCGACATTTCCAAGATTTTCAGACCACTTGAATTTTGTTCAATGTCATTTAAAGTGTTAATTAATTATTATATCATATAAATAACTATTAATTTGAATTTAAATTTTATCATAATCATATTATAAAATAAACTATATAAATAAAAAAATATTATAAT